TAAAACCACGTGGGACAGCTGAAATATCACAGGACGCAAGAGCACCCAGTGTCTAATGGAGACAAGAAAGTCAAGCCTCACAACTCCCAAAGCCCTGGTCAGTTATGGACAAAGGGGCCTGTGGTGGGAGGGGGTTGAGCCACCCCTGACTAGATGGGAAATAGGTGACCAGAGCATGATCATCTCCTTGGTGTGGGCTAGACCATGTGGACCGTGGGCCCTCCAGAGTCTCAGCCTATGCTATCCCAGAGAACTAACCATCTCCTAACAATTACCTCAGCCATTGTCCAGACTCTGCCATGATCCTATGAAAAACAAAAACCACGAAATGACAGAGCTCAGTGGCTCTTTTAAATTTTGGGAATGTCACCTACTCTGGGGAGTCTCTCTAACTTTTCCTCAGTTCTGCCCCTTTCTGCAATGATTCTTTGTAGAGCTGAATCCAGAATTGCTTACTCCTCCTGTCTTTCACCTTCATAGCTGTGAGACAGGTTTGGAGCCAGTACCCAGGGTCGATCTTTGATGGCCTCAGGTATCTGAATCACCCTAGACCCTTGTTCAAGCACAGCCAGGTAGAGAAATGTCTCCATGAGAATGAGCTTGTGAATACCAGTGGAATTCAGCCCTTTTGGGAGCACAGTCTCTCAGGAGGATCTTGCCCTGGCCTACCCACATATTTGCCATCACACAGAGCTCTTCAAGACAGCACATCCAAGATTGGGGCATTTTGTTTGATGGACATTTGCATAATTTAATAAAATGTCTTAGTTGGTCTCAAGGGCCTGCTGAGTTTGAGATAGTCTTTGTGTTATTCACTGTGACTAAAATTAAACAGTCCATCCTTACCCAAAACTAGAGGTGTCAGCTAAGGAGCAACCCAGAGCCACAGGTTCCTCACTCCCACTTCAAACACACTCACTGCCTTTTTTTTTTTTAAAGAACTCCATGCCCTTTGCAGCCCTAAAGTGCTTCTGGCTAAATACCTCAGAGGACAAGCCCACAGCCACTGAGTCTGTGCAGTCCAGCAGGTGTGATTGGACACATTGTAATTACGTTGAGTGTCCAGAAGACAAGCCTTCCAGGTCAAGAGTCAGAGCTGTACCTCTGGCTCCAGACAGTGAGGACGTGGCTTTAAAACTTCAGAACTAGGGACTGATTGAAAGATTCCTGGCATGGAGACTCGCAAGGGCTGCTGCCACAGATTCAGGAGGATGCTGTGTCTAGGAGCTAATGAGGACCAGGAACAACAGTGTGGTCAGTAAAATTGTTCTCACTGGACTTGGGCGAAATCCGGGAAGTAAATTTGGTGGAAAGGCCAATGGCCAGGAACTTCGATTACCCCAAATCTGCCAGTAGCCCTTCTCTAGGCTTTCCAATGATCCACAGGCCACGATGCTCAGATCCTTATCTTTGTGTTTTTCTCTCTTGCAGATGAGAATGCAGTGGTCCTGAAGGCTGGAGAGGAAGGAGGCAAGAAAGGGCTTGTACAGAGCGAGCTTGCGCAGGGTGAGCTTGATCAGGGCGAACTTGCTCTGAGCGAACTTCCCCCAAGCAAGCCTGTTCAAGAAGAGCTTGCTGAGTCCGATCTTGCTCAAGAATCCACAGGAATGGTCGAGGAAGAAAACAAAGAAGAAGAAATGGAAGGAGCACATGCTGGCGATGGTAGTTCTGGCCCCATGGACAAGGGGATCCAGGCAGAAGGTGGCCATGGCAGCAGTGTTCAAAAGCAGCCTCAGCAAGAGGCGGCAATGCCTGAGGGCACCAAGAGTCTCCAGGCTGGGGACAGGCTGCCTTTCCAGAGACGCACCAGATTCACCCAGTCTCAGCTGCAGGAACTGGAGCGTCTTTTTGAAGAGACTCGCTTCCCCAGCTTTCAAGTAAGGTAAACGGAACGCCCTGCAAGGCACCTGGCTTTCAGGCAGTGCACCCAGGCTGTCCTTTGGTGCTCCCTGAACCCGTGATTTCCTCAAGAAACAAAGCCACCATGTCTGGACCATCCAGTAGAAATTGGCTTCTAGAGTAAGGGGATGTGCCCTAGTCTAACTGGAAAGATTGTGTTTTGTTGCCTGTTTAAGTGGCACGTTAGTGGGAAATTTAGACAATGCTTGTTCTAAATAAGTCCCTGTACATATCAGTTAGAAGCCTGAGGTATAGCTGGGAAAATGCAGGAGGGATTCCACCTCAGATTGAAATCTGGCTAACACTTTTTTTTGTGGAGGTTCGCTTAATGAAGCTTTACATGTTAAGTACATGGAAGACATACCTGTGTTTGGGGGATTACCCTTAATTTTGGTCCCTGAAAGAAACCTGTTAGTAAAGTAAGTTGCAAAGTAGCTGTGAGGAATAGTGTATGTGTGTGTTTCTGTGTGTGTGTATGTGTACGTGTGCACACAGATAAGTGTGGACACAACCATTTAAAAGCAGACAGGACATGTTCTTATACAGTTTATTTCCACCACAAGGCTTAAATGTTGTAATCTTTTCACTTCAGGAAGGAACTTGCAATATCTATGGGTGTGCCGGAAGCAGATGTGCAGGTCAGTGTTTTTAAAAAAAATAGTGTTTTGGAAGGGCTCCACATCTTGTGATATTGCTGTCTAAAAGAGAGGTCTAGCAGCAAATTGGGACTTTGAAGTTGTATCCCAAGGACGCCAGACAAGTCCACACCCAGGCTAGGCTCAAGATGACGAAAGACTTCCATTTCCTCTGTCAGGAAATGCAAACCTGGACACCTAAAACCTAAGATGCCAATGTGCTTTGTCTAACCCTCAGTGAAGATAGTGTGTTCTCCATGACCTTCTGAAGGCTGTGCAACTCGCAAGCCTCACTTAAGTGAAGAGACCATGTTATTGCCCACCTTCAACTCCTTCACTCTGCGTGTCTCAGAAAACCTTTTCTCAGACTTCTTTTGTTCTAGTCTGTAAATGTCACATGCCTGGCTTAGTTCTCAATCAATACTGGGACCAGGAAGTTCAAACGTCCCATAG